CTTTTCTCCTGTGTCATGTACCACTGTACACATATGCCAATATGTTGGTCTGAATAGCTAAAGGAATGGTAGGGATTTTGCTTTGGTAAAATATGAATTCACATGTGATCAACTACGAATTCACATGAGGTCAACCCTACTTATTGGATTGGAAGCAAAGCCCTACTTACTCATGTTGGAGAGAATACAAATGGAAAATCTTCCATAAAGCTTATATGTTCTGCATTGACATTTAAGAAGGAGGTTGCTTCTCATAGAAAGTACTTGTGCGCTTTAGGACAATAACCTCTGATCAGTTATTGTTTGTTGTGAGATGGTGCTTTCGAGAGCCACCAGATCTGCGTGTTATCTTTGCATTGGCTCATGTTATTTGGTTTGGTTGTCTCTGCTTGTCTTCATGCATTGGGCACCTTAGGAAACAGTAAGAAAAAATAAACACATTTAAAGGCCAAGAGAAAATAAAACTGAAAATGTCACCATCTATAGCTTGCAATCTTGACAGAAATTTAAGTTTGATAATGAAGGGAAATTTTTAAGCATTTCTAAGTGTGTACCAAACTCACATTCTGAGGAGAAAAAAAAGAAAAGTCCAGCACAAAGAGGTGGAATCTGCCAAGGTTGAAACATCGACTTGTGCCTCTTTGGCAACATTTTTTCCTGAGAAAATCATCCATCTGCTTATCCAGATGTCCATTAGCCCTTCCACACCACTGCGTCCAGCGGTACATCTTCTGTGCCCCAGAGAACTAACTGATAAAGCACTGCGATGTCCCCCTCTTTTTGGCTCCTCAGACAAATAACATTTTCTTTCTTTCATTATCATCATGTAATTATAAAAAGAAGTTTCAATTCAACATGTCAGTTCGTGCATACAATCATCAATGTTACCCCTTCCATCATTCCCTCCCATCTGTCCCAAAGTCACCCATCAAAGATAATCTTTTCCTTCATTAAAGAAGGCATATAAGTTTAACTGTAGAAAAACGTGTGGTCCTCAATAGTACCACATAGAAGAAATAGCAACCATCTCGATTCCAATCAGCAGCGAATACTAGGTTAGTTTTATAGGAATTCAGATCAGAACCTTCAGATCAAATGCATTTTCCTTTTGTGTCACCTGATCCCTCCTTCACTCATCTCTACAGCCATCTACATTAAGAACAGTATGAGAATTGTCATTTAACTTGTCTTTTCCAATGACATTTTGTTGTTGTTTGCTGGTACTAGGATTTAAATTCAGGGCTTTGCCAGTTGGTAATCTGATATTAAACCACTTGAGCCATGCCTTCATCTTGGCTTTTGGATAGTTATTTTGGAGATAGATTCTTAAAAACAAAACAAAAAAAATTTTTCTACCCAGTTTATCCTCAAACCTACATCTTCCAGATCTTAGTTCCCTACCCCCTGCTCCCCCCAGCTAAGATTACAAGTGTGAGCCACTGGTTCCCAAAAGGGATTGTGTGGGAAGAAGAGGTGAGAGTAACAGTAGGGTTTGAACTCAGGGCCTTAAATTTGCTAATCGGGCACTCGAACATTTAGCCACAGCTCCAGCTATCAATGTCTCCTTTATAAACATTTTAAATTAAATGTATTGTTGGTTATCTTTAAATAGCTGCTTAATAGGATAGTAATTTAACATGGGAATATCTGAGTATATCTTGTTCGGTGTCATTCTCTTCTCATCTGTCCTGACCCCACTTCAAGTTACCAGGTTCCATTTTCACCTATGTGCGTCAAGTAATGCGATTGCATTCTCCCACCTTTCTTCTTCCCATTCCTCTCAATAACTTCTTATTAAAAAGAAACATATTTGCGTTCATTCTTAAGAACTCAGGGCATTAAGAATTTCGCATGACATCTGAATCTTGTCTGCAACCACTTCTTCAGATACCTACAATGTTAGCAGTTTGCTATATGTCTTCCCACACACCAGCTTGTTTATCTACATGTGTAGATCCATGTGTGTGGGTGGGGGTGTTTGATTGTCTGTCTGTCTATGACTGTGTCTGTGTCTGTGTCCTTGTACAAAAGGAATGGCACCATCCATGTTTCCAGGCTATTCTCAGCATCTTGGTTCTTCTGTTGGATACTTAATTGCAGAACTTTTTCTATGGATTTAACTGTATCAACATGTTCTTTAAAGCTCTGGCTGCTCTTAACCAATTCTGTTTCTCCTTTGCCTAATTTTCTTACATATTCTGACAACGTTAACAAGTGAAAAGAAGCCAAGGATCACAGACATGATGATCAGTCCCCCATACATATTGTACATATGGGAAACTGCAATAAAAATATAACTTTGTATAGTATTTTAGCATTTGCATCTTTGTTTTGTAGTTTCCTTCTTTGTTGTATTCTATTTTTTAATTAATTAATTAACTTACTGATTGATTGATTGATTGATTGAATGAATTTCTGCTAAAAATCCAGGTCATTGACTTTCCTAGGCCAATGTTCTATTACCTAAGCTAAGGAGCTAGTCCAGCATTTTTCTGAGTAATTGGAGACAGAGTCTTATCTCTGAGATTTTCCTTCCTAAGTTTGTTTTCAAATAGAGATCCTTCTGAGTAGCGAAGATTACAGATGTAAAGCCACAGGTGCTGGGCTATTTTTTTTAACATAACATGTACCTGAGGAATTTTCTAAAGATGGAAAAACAAGGCTCTTTTTTGACTTTTAAAATCAGGGATATCTATCTTTATTCATTAGGGTGACTTATTGACAATAAAGCAGTTTAAAGATATCCACTAAGGTTTAGAGGGTTTTATACACTTATACTGTTAACAAACCAACACAGCCACTTACTCAAAAAGCAAATAGTAGTCAACAACTTAGGCTAACATCAGATGAAACCAATATTTTGTCCTAACTCTCTTCTATTTCCGAGTTCTATGTGCCAGTTCTATTCTATGTTATGTATCTATATGGAGATTTTCTAATATACATATATGTATATATGTAAATATATGTATTTACTTAATATTGTTGGTTGTGGGGCTTAGGCATGATTTCTGAGCCTCTTTTTGCTCAAGGTTAGTGTTCTAGCTCTTGAGCCACTGCATCATTTCTGAGTTTTGAGTGTTTAATTGGAGATTGGAGTCTCAAGGAGACTTTTCTGCCCTGGATGGCTTTGAACCGATCCTCGGAACTCAGCCTCCTGAGTAGCTAGGATTTCAGTCGTGAGCCACCAGTGCCAGCATCCCTCCAGGTCTCTGGAGTTTATTCTGTTACAGCATCCCAATTGCCACTCCATGAAAACTCCCAAGCTTCTCGAGGGTAATGGGGCCCAAGTTGCCTGTAATTCACATGGTCTGCTGTATGATCAGTGTCCTCATTGATAACACATCTCCTGCTGTGGAAAGGAAAAATGCAGGAACTTTATTCTTTGGAAAGACTAGCTCTCTAGCCTCACATATCATTCAGTACAGTCCTATTTATTCTATTTCCCTTCATTTGACTTGGGCCCTTTCTGTCTAGCCACACATCCAATGAGTATTTAATTATTCCTATCATGCTTTTAATTTTCTAGATCTATTCTTAGTTTATTTTCACTATATTCTATTAGTAGTAGTAGTAGTAGTAGAAATAGTTGTAGTAGTATGCATTTATTTGCAACAGGATCTTCTTATATAACAGAGGCTGGCCTTGAGTTTTCAATCATCCTTCCTTAGCCTCCTGAGTGCTAGAATTAAAAGTGTGTACCACTATGCCCACTGCATACAGTGTACTCTCTTAAATAGGAACCATTTTATCTTCTTCTTCTTTATGTCATTGACTACTCATGTTTTTTTTTCTGTGAGTTCATTTGGACTTTTTTTTCCTTTTTTTTTTTGTGAACATGCTGTACAGAGGAGTTACAATTACATGGGCAGGATAATGCATACATTTCTTACCAAGCATTGCAGCCTCCTCCTTTGTTTACCCTTCACATCCCTTCCCAGCTTCCCCCCTCCCCCCCAATCCTCATCCTTCTCCTTCCCCCCTTTCCCCCCCGCCCCCCCCACCGACGTTGTAAAGCTCGTTTTGGACATGACAACTTGTACTTCTCATTGTTGCAACAGGTCCACCTGTATCCTTAAACAACTGGTTTTTCCCCATCTCCTCCACAAGTTATACTCACATCAAATATAGTGAAAGCAGGGGTTATACTGTGGGGGAGGGACATACAAAGCAACAAAGAGATAATCTTATAAATGCTTTAGAAACACATGCATGAAAGAAAAAAACATTAAAATACACATCTAATGGTACATTTTCCTGACATCACATTATCTGACCTTTTCCGCTTGACTCATACATATACTAGATATTACAAATAAGGGAAACCATGGGACCTATGTTTCTTTGGGCCTGGCTTACTTCACTTAATATAACTTTTTCCAAGTTTTTCCATTTCCTAACAAATGGGGCAATGTCATTCTTTCTGATGGAGGCATAGAATTCCATTGTGTATATATACCACATTTTCTTGATCCATTCATCTACTGAGGGGCATCTGGGTTGGTTCCAGATCTTAACTATGGTAAATAATGCTGCAATAAACATAGTTGTGCTGGTAGCTTTAGTGTGGTCTTGTTTGTAAACATTTGGGTAAATGCCCAAAAGTGGGATTGCTGGGTCATAGGGGAGTTCTATGTGAAGTCTTTTGAGGAACCTCCATACTGCTTTCCAAAGTGGTTGAACAAGTTTACATTCCCACCAACAATGAAGTAAGGTTCCTTTCTGTCCACATCCCCTCCAGCATCTGTTGTTGTTAGAGTTCTTGATTTTTGCCGTTCTAACTGGAGTGAGGTGGCATCTCAATGTTGTTTTGATTTGCATTTCTTTTATGGCTAGGGATGTTGAACATTTCTTCATGTGTCTATTGGCCATCCTTCTTTCTTCTTCAGAGAAGTTTCTCTTTAAGTCTTTCACCCACTTGTTTATTGGGCAGTTGTTTCTTTGAGGATTTGTTGTTGGGGGTTTAATTTTTTGAGTTCCAAGTATATTTTAGATATGAGACCCTTGTCCGTTGTATGGCTAGTAAAGATCTTCTCCCAATCTGTGGGCTTTCTATTGATCTTGCTAGCTATGTCATTTGCCCTGCAGAAGCTCTGCAACTTTATGCAATCCCATTTGTCCAACCTTTCTTTGATTTGTTGTGTTTCCAGGTCTCTATTCAGAAAATTTCGGCCTGAGCCAAGGAGACCTAGGGTTTCTCCTATTCCATCCTGTAATGTTTTCAGCGTGTCTGCTTTGAGTTCAAGGTCTTTGATCCATTTGGAGTTGATTCTGGTGCAGGGTGATATATAAGGATCTAGCTTAAGTTTTTTACATGTAGTTAACAAATTTTGCCAGCACCATTTACTAAAGAGGTTGTCTTTCTTCCATTCTGTTGTTTTAGCTCCCTTATCGAAGATTAGATGGCTATAGGTCTGTAGGTTCATTTCTGGGTTTTCAATTCTATTCCATTGGTCCTGAGGTCTGTTCTTATGCCAATACCAAGCTGTTTTGATTACTATGGCTTTATAGTAGAGTTTGAAGTTTGGTATTGATATTCCTCCAGCAGTGTTCTTTCCAGACTACTTATGTTTTTGAGAAGGTCTCTTCTGCACCTCTTTCTGTCTTTGTTTGACTCTTACAATACCTTGGTCTCTGCCTTTCATGATGAAGGCTACCTCAAACTTGAGATTATCTTTGTCTGCATTCATATGCAGCAGGAGTATTATAGAAACTGGTCACAGGGCTTGTGGATTGGTCACTGATCCAAAACTGCTTCCAAATGTCAGGATCTAAAGGGCCTTTCCCTGGGATCTTCCTGCTTCTTTCATGGCAGAGCTTCCAATGTCTCTGGCCATGAAATCAGGAATTTGCTGGGGAGTATAGGCTCTGGGTAAGGAGCAGAAGCAGAGGCTTAGAGGTTTGCATTCCTGTTTAATGATACATTTTTACAAAGTACCTCTAGTTTTATCTGAACTACTTGCTTCTTACTCCTTCCTTTTCCGTACCTCCTGTTTCCCCTCCTACCCGCCCCCCATTCAATCATTGAAGTCTATTTACACCATTGGGCTGCTTATTCTATACAATGCAGGGGTGGAAACTTCTGTGTCTCTCCCTCACATCTCCTGACCTTTGAGGGCATCTAGACATTCAGCAAGCTGCAGTTTCATGGATAACCCCAAGGGGCTTGCTAATTTTCATCTTCTTTCTACTTTTCTACTCTTCTGGTATTTTCATCCACTCTCTCCTTGCCTTCTATCGCTTCTTGTCACCATTCCTTTCTATATTGTATTCTATATTGTTGTTTCTCTCTTTTTTTCTCTATTTTTAAGAATAAATAGAAATAGTTTAATCCCTGCTGTCATTTAAGTCTGGTTTTAGGCAAGAATGAAGATAAACACATTTGTTCCACTCACTACATTCTCTTATTAGGTTTTAATAATGCGAATTTTTTTCTTTTTCAATCTTTTTTTCCCCCTTTTTTAGTAGCCTAACTCCAAAAATAACATAATGGTGATCACTAGGGCTTAGGAAAATATATTTGGAGACACAGCTTGGGAATTTGTTTCTGTCTTAAAAGATAAGGTTTGTTTATGCAAAAAATGTTGATTTCCTTCATTAACATATGTACACAGACATGGAAGCGCTTAATGCTAAAAAAATTAATAAATTCCTTAGATGCAACTTGGATTTATGAATTACCCAACAGAAAACCAGAAAGGGCTTTATTGTTCCATCACTGCTAATGCCTTACTGTTCCAGACCAGTCACTGCTCAACAGGAGGGATTCAGAGTTGTTTTCCTCACTGATGACTCCACATAGTTTGATACCAAGATAATGTACTAAAGGAAGGTAGGTGGTTTTAGGACACTAGGAATGAGAGCCTTTGAATAATTCTCCCTGCAGGAGCTACATCCCATTTTCTGTAAATTGTGTATGCTTAAAATCTAAAATATGCCAAAGCAATCCATGAAAATTTAAAAGAAGTGATTTCCTAGAACAAGCATACTGCATTCTATATGCTTCCTCTGGGTGTGTATGGTGTTTGTGTGTGTGTGTGTGTATGTGTGTGCTGCTCCCAGCTTGAACTCAGGGTCTAGCAATTGTTTCTAAACTTCTGGTCTCCAGGATGGTACTCTACCACTTGAGCCAAAGCACTACTTCTGACTTTTTGGTGGTTAATTGGAGATATGGTCTTTCCTGGCCAGGCAGGCTTTGAACTATGATCCTCAGATTTTAGTCTCCTGAGTAGCTAGAGTTATAAGAGTCTGCCACTGCTGACCAGTTTCTCCATCTTTTTTCTTTTCTTTTCTTTTTTCTTCCCTTTTCTCTTTTCTTCCCTTCTCTCTTTTTTTTTTTTTGGGGGGGAATGTCAGTTGTGGGGCTTGACCTCAGAGCCTGGGCCCTACCCCTAAACTTTTGTTCAAGAATAGCTCTCTATCACTTTGAGCCACAGCTCCACTTCTGGTTTCCTGGTGGTTAATTGGAGATAAAAGTCTCACAGACTTTCTTGTCCAAGCTGGTTTTGAACTATGATCCTCAGATCTCAACCTCCTGATTAGCTAGGATTTCAGACATGAGCCATCAGCACCTGGCTCTTTTCTTTCTTTTTTTCTTTTCTTTTCTTTTTTTTTTGCTTCCCTTCCCTTTCTTTTCCATTCTTCTTTTCTTCTTTTGGAGTTGGTACTTAGGACTAGATGCTATCCTTTAGCTTTTCACTAAGTCTGGAGCTCTATCGCTAAAGCCACAGCTCCATTTCCAGCTTTATGCTAGTTAATTGGAGTTAAGAGTCTCATGGAATTTCCTACCCAGGCTAGCTTCAAGCTGCAACCCTCAGATCTCAGCCTCCTGAGTAGCTTTTATTACAGGCATGACTCATTTGCCCCTGGCCTCTCCATCCCTTCTTGGCTGAGCATTGGCCAGGGTATTTACTGGAATGCTGCCTTCAGGATGCCTATAGTATCCCCAGGGTTCTCATAGAGATAAAAGATGGTATTTGGAGCAGTTTGCAATGTACTTTGTGCAGAAGCCTGGCAAAGCCAGAGAGCTGGCTTGGAGTTCCAGTTTAACCCTTTGTAGGTGTGATGAGGAGCAGGTTGGCCTGATAAGAACTTCTTAAACTCAGATCCTCACATGAGCTGGGCAGGCGCTGTACCCCATGAGCTTGTTCTCAGCCCTGAGAAGCTCTTTTTGCTGAGGTGCAATCTGGGGGTCATGAACACATGGAAACAGACATGCCGTAGTGAAAAATGCCAGAAACACGCTAAATACCATAAACAAAATGAATACCAGGAAACTGATGGGGAGTAGACCAATGAAGAGAGGAAAGGGGGATGCAGTCATGATATTCAATGCATGGCCTTTAAAACTAAGAAAATGGAGGAGAAGGTGGGGGAGAATGGTAAAAAGGATGCTATCAATCAAGATGCATTGTACTTACACACTGATTGGTTGAATGGTAACTCCTTTGCACAACTGCTTAAAGGTAATAAAAATAATTATAAGAGAAGGAAAAAGAGTTAAGGGGACACTTCATGGTGGTTCTTTGAGTTGAATTTGTGTTAAAAACATAAAGGGAGAGAGACAGTGTACACTTTTGGGTAAAATACTCAGGCTGTCATGGGTATTTGGCATTTCCTAGCCATATGAGTAGAAGGGCTGAGTAGAACGGGAGGCTGAGGAGAGGGCACGGAAGGAGGTGGTGATCTAATTGATCTAATAGACCTTCACGCAGGCAGGCTTTGAGGAGCTCTCAGGTACAACATGGCAGCATTGCAACTCTTGGTGACTTCTGAGTTAACCACTTTGGTTGAAGCCAAGGAGCAGGTAAGACAGGACCCAGGATTCACACGGAACCCATACCGGCCTCCCTATCAGGGATGGGATAGAGTGAGCTCGTGACCACTGACCACCTTGAAAGTGAGCACCAGAAACTTTAATAATCAAGTTAAATAATATTCCCTATGTTAGCTACGGTGAATAATGCTGCCATAAACATGTGTGTGCTGGTAGCTTTAGTATGGCCTTGTTTGTGATTATTTGGTTAAATGCCCAAAAGTGGGATTGCTGGGTTATAGGGGAGCTCTATGTGGAGTCTTTTGAGGAACCTCCATATTTGATTCTGGTGCCCTGCATCTTTTGCGTGTGTGTGTCTGTGTCTGTGTCTGTGTGCGTGTACGTTTTTTATTGTAAAAAATGCTGTGCAGAGGGTTTACAGTTATATGAGCAAGGTAATGAGTACATTTCCTATTGAGCATTGTTGCCTCCTCCTTTGAATTCCCCCTACCATCAATTCCTTCCCACCTCCACAACTACCCCTGCTCCCCCCACCGAAGTTGTAAAGTTCGTTTTCAACATAGTGTTTTGTACATCTTATTATTAAAATGGGACAAACCTGTCTTTAAGCATTTTGTTTTTTTCCCTTCCCCTCCCTGAATTAGAGAAGTGTATATACAAGATGAAAGGCACCAGCATCAAATACAGTGAAAACAAGGGTTACACTGTGGGGGAGGAACATGCAAAGCAACAAAAAAAAAATCACATGGTACATTATAGATATGTTAGAAGCAATAGCAAGAAAGAAAAAAGATATTTGTTTCCCTATCTTTGGGTTCATTTTACTTAATATCATCTTATATGGTCATATGTACATAGTTTTTGGCCTTTTCTCATTGTGCTACTAGTCATTGCAAATAAGGGAAACCATGGGACCTATGTTTCTTTGCACCTGGCTTACTTCACTTAATATGCTTTTTTCCAAGTCTTTCCATTTCCTAACAAATGGGGCGATGTCATTCTTTCTGATGGAGGCATAGAATTCCATTGTGTATATATATATATAGATGCATATATATACATATACACAGATATTTACATATATATACACATACATATATATATACATATACATATCTGTGTATATTTATATGTACATGTATATATATCACATTTTCTTGATCAATTCATCTACTGAGGGGCATCTGGGTTGGTTCCAGATCTTAGCTATGGTAAATAATGCTGTAATAAACAT